TCTTGAACGTGCTCTGGTGATGGGAGTTCATTAATTCTGAGATAAGCTCTACCACTTCACATGGTTTAGTTCAAAAACCAATAAATGTCCCTGTTTTACTAAAGACAGTCTGTCTTACTTGCAAAAAGAAGAAAAATCTTAAAAGTAAATAACGAGACAGCTGGAGTTTGGAGTTTGAAAGCTGAGATCCAGTACTTCTTAACCATCTGTGTAAGTTATTGCTCCTAAATGCCCTACTTATGTACTTAGTGTACACACAAACACACATGCAGGTATACAAAACTAAACTTTACTAAAAATGGAAAAATTTTAAAGTTTCTATTAATAGTTGATAGAAGTTATCAGTCAAGTTCATGTTACTTAGGCTAGTTTCTCATTTATATTACTAAATAAATCCCACTGTTTGCTCATACTCAGAAGTCATTAAACATACTTATTCAAGCTTTCTTGCTGCCTACTGACTCCATAAAGGCAATGACCAAGAACTAAATCATATAGTTCCTCCTCAGTTCTATAAGCTAAATTCACTATTCTACTGTCTCCATACAGTGTTGCTAGTGTTTTTCTTCCCATTAAAATTTGGGGATTATTTCTGTGCCACCCTTTTATAATATATTCTTCTCCTGAAAACACAACCTCATTCTTTCATAATCTGACCTGCATATTTACAACAGAACTCTAGGGGTCATTATTTTTTTAAAGGAATACCTAGTGTGCCAATTATCTTGGAAGGTATGACTTCAAGCCCCTCTTTAGAATGCCTTCCAAACAATATAAAATGCTCTCTTCTCAGGAACAAAAAACTAGAAAGATGACAACAGAGTACTGTGTTAACAAAAAAAAAATTCAACAGCCAAATATTAATCAAAACTATTCTGGTTTTCTCCTGTCACTATTCTTACAGCATTAAATTTTTCCTCTGAGCCCTGGCTGGTGTGGCTCAGTGGATAGAGAGCATCAGCCTGCAAACCAAAGGGTTGCTGGTTCAATTCCCAGTCAGGGCACATGCCTGGGTTGCAGGCCAGGTTCCCTGGTACAGGGTGTGTGAGAGACAATCACACATTGATGTTTCTCTTCCTTTCCCCCTCTCCTTTCCCTCTGTCTATAAATAAAATCTTTTAAAAAAACATTGTTCCTCTGAATTAATGACTAAATATTTGTTGCAACAAGAACATTCAAACTATTCATGACTATGAATAGCTATTTAAGTACAAAATGGAATTTAAAATTAGATATTAAAGGACTTCAAAAAATCTCAAAATAAGCCAAGTAGAGAATAATTTATTAAAAGGCATCTGATATTTAATTAGACCTTCTATACATATTTTAATACTTTAAAACAATTTGGTTTTATTTCTTTTCTCCTGCAAATTTCATAACTGATATTAGAGTTCAAGTTTACAATAGTCTACAAGTAATGGTATATGGGCTAGCTAGTGCCCAGTACTTAAAACAAAAAGATGAAAATGCTACCACTTTCAAGTGGGAAAGACGACTTCAAAGTGAGTTACAACCAAGCAAACAAATATTCAAGAAAATCAATGTGAACGTGTCTTGATTTTTATTCAGAGCAATGCCTCTTAAGCATTGATACTCCTGGAGGATACTAATAAAATCAAAGAATGCTATAATGTTAAAACTTTTAAAATCATCTAATCAGGACTTCTTCATTTGGGGTTCAAATTAGATGTGAAATTCATATATGTGTACATTTTTCTGGAAGTAAGATCCTGGAAATTTTTCTAAAATTTCATCACAATTTCAAAGGGATGTATGATTGAAAAGAGGCCAAGATTGGGTAAGGAGAGGGAGAGGAAGTCCTGGGGACATTATCTAGTTAATGCAGAGATATGATTAGTGAGACTCACGGAAATGAAATTATTTGCCTATGGTCAAATAATCAGCAAGTATCAGTTTCAGTACTTAAGGCTTCTTTTTTTTCACTGAAACACAAACAGCTCTTAAAAGATTTTTTTTTGTAAACTTACTCTTAAAACAAAAACAAATCTGTATGATGTAAGAGCAATGAAGAGAAGTCTCAGGCTGATGATAAAAAGAATATCAAAATGGCAACTTAGAGGCATGACTTCAAAACAATTCATCCAGAACAGAGTTCTAAGAGAGCCATTCCCAAGAAAGAAAGAAAAAAAAAAAAGACCTGATACAATACCCGAATGTAACTAATTGAAACAAAATGAAATTTACAGCTCTGACAGAGACTTTGGAGAATTAGGAAAACCAAGCAAAAGGGGAAAAAAGATTTCACAGACAGAAAATATTATCACAGTACCTTATACTGAGACAGTATGACACAGTTATAAATGATACATATGCAAACATAAGCCCTGAATATGATTTAATCAAAATTTGTAGTCACAGAGAAGGTGGGGTAGGGAGGGTGATTGAGGGGAGCTCATAAAAAGCTAAATCTTTAAGATACAGTCATAAATCAACAAATAATATCTACAATAAAATAATCAAGGCAAGGTAGGTATGTTTAAAGACACAAAGAAAATAGTATTAAAACACCCAAATAGTGTTATTTAACTGGGCCCTATTGCATCTTGAGTAGGGTAATCCATTGTTGTATGGGGCTGTCTTAAAGCATAGGTCAGCACTCTGAGGCCTACAGGGCAAATACAGCCTGTTGCCTGTTTTTGTAAACTGTTTTATTGGAACACAGCCATGCCCATTCATTTCATTTACTTACATATTGTCTATGGCTGTTTCTGTACTATGACATCAGTGAGTAGTTGCCACACAGACTTATGGCCTTCAAAGCCTAAACTATCTGGCCCTTTATAGAAAGTTTGCCAACCTCTAATTTACTGTATTGCAGGACATTAAGTATCTGATTCCTTCCCACAAATGTCAGTCTTTCCCCAAAAGTAATTATGAAAACCAAAACTTCACACTCTATGTTTTCAACATACCCTCCCCAACTCCCTATTAGCATCCAGAAGTAGAACTTTGGTTTGAGAACCACTGAGCTATAAAGAATTTAAAATGACCGTCCCTGGAGAGTAAAACTAGAGATTGGGTAAGGACAGGGAGAGAAACTACTGGGGCCTGCTCCCTCCCTAAGTTCTGAAACACTAATTAATCTTTCAAAGTAGTCACATATATTTCTTCAAGAAAATTAAATTTTAAAGCCAAAAATATACAAAGGAATCAAATCTGGTTAATGGTTCTGGGGACTCTCTAATATAAAATGTGTAACATGCGTATCTAGCACTCTGGCTACTTGCAGAGCAAAGGGTATATGACTACACTTATATTACACTCTTCCTCATTACAATTTTAGCAACAGGTTCTCTCAAGTAAACAAAATGTGTGATTACATTTTTTATATTTAAATTGTGATATCTGTTGTATTTTCTCTGGAAAATATTTTGGTTGTACACACCCAAAGTTCCTAGGTAAATGACTCTCAGATAAGAAGAGTGTCACTGTGATAACTGAATATGTGTGTCATATTTCAACCTTTGGATCCCAAGAAAAGTCAGTCAATCTAGCACATTCTACAAATGATCTTCAGTGAAGTTTTCAATGTTTAACATAAAAAGCCAAAGAGATAAAATGTTTAATAAACATTACTAACTCTCATAAGGAAACATGAAAAGTTTTCAAAGACCTATATAGCAAAATTTTTTAAATTTGTTATTTTATTGTTTTCTTTTTGAATTAATAGTATGATCGACACTTCCATTTAGTACTTCCAATTTAGTATTTTATTTGAAAAATGTGATACTGTATATCTGTGATATGTTCTACCTAGAAAAGAAATAACACATCTAAAGAGAGATAATATCCTTAGGTTTGACTAATCTTTAAAGTGTTCTAATTATCACTTACTTCCAATTCAACTAAATTTTATTTTACTTCCATTTTTAATCCTCACCAAGGATAGATATATTTATTGATTTTAGAGAGAGAGGAATGGAGAGGGGGGAGTTTGCGGGGAGCGAAAGAGTGAAAGAAAGAGAAACATCAACTCAACGTGTGAAATGCTGATTCTCTGCCTACTGTACACGCTCCAACAGAGGATCACATCTGCACCCAGGTGTACGTGCCCTGACCGATGGCACCCACAACCTTTTGGTGCACAGGATGATGCTCCAAATGGAGCCACCCAGCCAGGTCCAATTTAACTAAATTTTAAAATCGCTTGGTCTTTCCATGCATAGGAAAAGCTTTAAATATATATTTGGTTAGGAGGGACCTGAAGAATAAGAATCAAAAATGTTTTAAAATGTGAAAAAAACAAATTCACTACATACACCAAAAGTCTAAGATACTACATTTAACAATATACATTTCAAAAAGTATAAACAACACTCTTCAGGAGTAAACAGTACACTGTGTTTTTTTAAAAAAGGCATTTATTCTCTTGAATTTTATAAAGAAAATATTACATTGGTAAAGCATATTTTGAAATGTATAGGATGATACAGCTAGTTAACTGGTTATGACAATAATGCTCTAACATCAAAATAAACATTTTAATAGAATTTGAAGAATACAATCTCCAAAGGCTAATTTTACTATAAAGATTCAGTTGTTGAATTATAATTTATAAGAAACAGATTAAAACTATTCTAGCTCTTGAAATAAAATAGTTATAAAATTATAACAGCTCTGGCTAACCTAGCTTTCTTTTAAAATACCAGAAAAAATTCAATGCCTTTATAAAATGCTAATTATATTCATAATCTTAAAAATTTGGTTTACATTATGACTGAAAATAATTAGTCTAACAACTCTGAAAATGTGGATTTCAAAACGGAGAAAAAATGTTTTTAGACATCATCTCTCTAATTTATTTAGAAGTAAAATTGGCACAAGGAAAAATAATATTCCCCTTTCTATTCAAAAGATCCTTAAATCTATTGGTCATTATTTTAGGTAATTGATATAAATCCATAGTATTTACATACAAATAGAAAGCATTTTTAGAATAAAAACATTTAAGAGGTTAAAAGCTTTGATTATCCACTTACCTTTTTTTGATACCAGACTATAGCATCAGTGACTTTGGACGCCATTTATTCCACTGAAATCACACATTCGTCATTTTAAGCTGCGCAAGAGAGAGAAACATACTAATGACTTCACTTCCACCTTCTAAAAGGAAACTGAGCAACATGCGTATCTAGCACTCTGGTTACTTGCAGAGCAAAGGGTGTATGACTACACTTATATTACACTCTTCCTCATTACTATTTTAGCAACAGGTTCTCTTAAGTAAACAAAATCAGTTGCCATAATAAAAGAAGAATCTTTCTATGTGATTATAACACTTGAATTTTCTTACAAAATAGCTGAATCTTTTTTTAATTAGCTTTTTAAATAAATTTCAGAATTTCCAAGATTACACTGAAAAATTTTCATTTATAAGTTCACTTATGATAGGAATTCATTCAGTAATAGATGAATTTTGCTGTAGTTTCTGTCTAGGAACTGGTGTCAATTATTGTTGCTAAAGGATGGCTTGATAAAGATGCCAAAATTTATAATCACATTTCATTTTCCCTGATACCCAGTAAACACAAAATTGAACTAAAATCAAATAACTAGAGAAATCTAATTAATTTATATTAAATACTAAGCCAATATTATAGTTCCTTACATAGGAAAATTAACATGAAGGACTTCCCAGATATTGCAGATTGTTAATATTTAGAAATTTATCACAGGGCATTTCATAAACATCTTTTTGTGTTTGTCTAAACAGTTTTTAGATAAGAAATAATTCCTAGAGAGAATTTATTCCAGACTGATTCCAGTAATACTTTTCTAGTTGTAGAATGAGGCTGGATAGAGGGCACCTCTGGTGTGTTAGTAAGGATGAGCCTAAAGTTCAAACAAAGTTACTTTCCCCAGAACTTATTACAAACCAGGATCACTTTAAGGCCATCAGCATCTCAGGGAAATCCTGGAAGCAAAGCACCCCGATCCTAGCACATGCAGATCTGTAAATGGAGAGACTCTACCACTATACAATTTGACCAAACTCAACATAATACCAGATGTTTATAGATCATTCTTGGGCACATATCAAGATTCAAATAAAATAATTATGATCAGCAAGTCCAAATGTTGGAATGATCAACCTGTAAAACTGAAGGCAGAATTTACTTAATGCCTGTATTTTTATAGTGTTATATATCAGATTATTTTATTACCTTTCCTAAGATATTAATTCCATCTTTAACTTACCAAATTTAAGCAAACTATGTCTTGAAATTCCTGAAAAAATGCTCTATCATTTTTTATAGGAGAAGCAGAGTCCAAAGACCTGGGTTCACATACTGCCTTCCTCTATCTGGTATGTAATATAGAAGGAGTCACTTAATCTATTGGACATCAGTTGCTTTCACTTGTACAATAGGAATAACTGTACCTATCCATCTCTTGATAAGAAAAAAATTCTGAAATGTACTAAGTTCAACATAACAGCTGCTGAACAATAAGAAAGTGATACAACAGTCGGTTATAGCTGTAGATCAGCTCTGACAAAAGACTGCTCACATTTCTGTATTTCTGTTGAAATTTAGAATTAATTTCCAGGTGGCTATTTCCATGATTATCCAAAAGAGAAAAGCCAGGGACCCTAGAAACCCAGAAGTCTCCGTTTCTTATTTACACAAGAACCTTCCAATTGGCTGCCCACAGTTAATTCACAAAAGTGGATACATCTTCCTCGCAGATTGTACTGCACCCAGAACTAGCCCCATTTCAACTTCTCCTATCCTCTTTGTAACTAAAGTAGTAAATCCTTTCGAATGACTTACATCTTTCTTTCCCCTGCTTGATGTATAAAAACCCTTGCAAAACTCCAGGAATGACTAACAGGACATGTTGTCTTTCCTCCCTAGCCATGCTGGTGGTGGTTCAGACTCCATGCCCCAAACCAATCTTCTTTGTTATCTTTTTTTTTTTCTTTTGCTACCAGTTGCCTAATAAAACCCTTTAAAAAAAAAATAATTTCACCTTGAAAGTTAAAATTTTTAAAAGATTTTTACTTTTAGAGAGAAGGGGAAGGGAGGGAGAGAGGAAGAGAAACATCAATGTGTGGCTGCCACTCACACACGTCCCCTACTGGGGACCTGACCCACGACCCAGGCATGTACCCTGACTGGGAATGGAACCTGCAGCCCTTTGGTGTGCAGGCCAGCACTCAAGTCTACTGAGCCACACCAGTCAGGACGGAAGTTAAAATTTTTGTTTAACAACCTTATGTTAATACCCTTCTGTTATGTTTTTGTTTAACACCATTAGGGGTTTTGTGACACCATTAGGGATAATATAATATATATAAATATACATACAGTGAATATTCAATTGTAATTATTTTTATTATTAATGTCTTATTTTTAAAAATTCTGCGATCCAGGAGCTGGCAAGTATTTATATTTCCTCTTTTAAACATGACAAACAGTTTAGAAAAGGAATATATGCAACAGTTTTTATTGACCTTTAAGATAATAATAGCTAACTGACTATCATAAAATCACAATGTCAATTCTCAACTACATACACATGGATTATTTATATTTCAAAAGTCACCTCCACTTAAGTTTCTCAGTTAGATATGGCTACCTCCATATCTCTCAGCACAGTTTTTTTGAGGAAGCTTTCTCTTACTGACTTTAATCTCCCATTTTGGTTTTTCTGTCCTGGAGACTTCTGGCAGTGATTCATTTACCTTTATCCATATTTTATCCTAGAGGTTTTCTCCATTGATTCTGCTAGGAGACTATTCAATAAAATATTTCACGTCCATTGTACAGGATGGGCAACAGTAGGTTTACAGTTGTTCAAAAAAATACAAATTAATAAATAATAATAAAAGAATAAACTCTGTATTTTATATACTCACAACTGTAAACCTACTGCTGCCCACCCTTATACTTGTTTGTCAAGACAATCAGAACTAGTTTTCCAAACTCTCCTTCCCTCTCTCCCTACTCTGGGCCCCCAGGCCTCGCCAAATGCAAACCACAAAAAAATGACACAAAAAGTATGAGAATGCCAACTTCTCTCTTTACTGCCTTTTCACTTCACCCAATTTTTAGGGTTCTTCCAGATTATCTACCAGAAGAAGATCCTCTCTCTTAACCCCTCAGAAGTGCAAAAGCTATGCATTTCATATACAAAATGTGAAAGGATATTTTATGAACCAATCAATTAAAAGTATATGACATTTAATATATTTGGAGAACACTTCAGTGGTCACATATAAATAGTAATAATTTTTTTAAAGTGTCAATGAAAGTGAGAAAAATGCCTGCTTCAAATAAACTGATCTGAAAGATAATTTTTATATGCTTTGGTTTATACCAACTCCACTTAGAAAAATACTTCAAAAATCAATTCTAATAGTACACTAGGTATATAAAATGTTCTAAATATGTCAATTGCCTTTATTTGGATTTATAGAAATAAAAATTCAGTCACTCTTGTTTTAAAAATAAAAGAACACCTTTCATTAGTAATGGTAAAGTTTGGCCTGCAAACTAATTTAATAGTTTTTCCACTATGTCAACAACATTTCTGTGACACCAAATGGCTCATGGCTATTTTTAAACAGTTTCTACAGCATGATGAGATAGATTTCTAAATCAGACATGTGACAAAATGCACTTGAAGACATGCAAACTTCACATGAGTATTAAAAAAGTAATAAATCAACAAATGATTTTATAAATAAGATTATTTCTAAAGCTTTTCCAATTTCTTTCATTCTGACAGTTCAGAAATACAGGTTTATAATCTCTGTTATTCTAGTTCATATTATATAACTTTTAATGCTAAATTATGACATTAAAGTTAATTTACACTAAAAAAAGTAGCAAAGAAAGCTTATTGGGTGCCATGAACACAGAACCTCAATCTTTCTCCATCAACCAATAGATGGGTATTAAGGTATGGAGATGACCCAATAATAAAACTACAAAATTAACTGCAGACATAACATTTAAACCTTATTATAGACATTATTTTAATTATCTTTTTGTTTTTTTTAAATTTTGTGCAAAAATAACCAAGAGTATTTGTGAGGTATTTTTACATTTTATTTTTTTACTGCATTCACTGTAGTGACATTGGTTAATATAATTATATAGGTTTCAGGTGTACAATTCTATAATACATTTGTACAGGGTATAATCATTTGTACATGGTATTGTATGTCTATCACCATTTATCCCCCATACCCTCTTCTAATTTTCCTCTACTCCCGCCTTACTTCTGATAATCACTACACTGGTATCTGTGCCTGTGAGTCTTTTTTGTTGTTGCTTTTGTTTTTGCTTAATCCTTTCCCCTTTTTTACCCATTCTCACAACCCCATACTCTCTAACAGCTGTCAGTGTGTTTCAGTTTGTTCTCTATGGTCTGTTTCTATTTTGTTAGTTTACTTTGTTTATTAGGTTCCACATGAGTGGACATCCTTTGCTACTTGTCTTTCTCTGACTGGCTTATTTTTCACTTAGCATAATGCTGTCCAGATCCACCCATGCTGTTGCAAAGGGTAAGATTTCCTAATTTATTTTTTATGGTCGAGTAGTACTCCATTGTGTAAATGTACCACATATTTTTCACCCCCTCGTCTACTAATGGACTGGGTTGCTTCCAAATCTTGGCTATTGTAAATAACGGTGTATATATTCTTTCAAATTAGTTACTCAGGTTTCTTTAGATATATTCCCAGAAGTGGAATCACTAGCTCATAAGGCCGTTCTATTCTTTAATTTTGTGAAGTAACTCCATACCGCTTTCTACAGTGGCTGCACCAACAATGCACGAGGATTCCCTTTGCTCCACATCATTTCCAACACTTGCTGTTTGCTGATTTATTGATGACAGCCATTCTGACAGGTGTGAGGTGGTATCTCACTGTAATTTTAGTTTGGATTTCTCTGATTAGTGACAGTGAGCATCTTTCCACATGTCTAATGGCTAACTGTATGTCCTCCTTGGAGAAGTGTCTATTCAGGTACTTTGCTAAATTTTCAATTGGATTGTCTTCCTGGTATTGAGTTGTATAACTTCTTTTTAAATTTGGGGTATTAACCC